AGTAAAACATGCAGTATCTGCACTTACTACAACTGCTGCTTCCCCTACTTGGGTCAAAGAAGTGATCATCAGCTATCATCAAGATGAAAAAGTCAAGGAACTTATTGTTGAATGCTCTCTGGATAAGACCAGTAACAATGCTTATTCCTTAAAAATGGCATATTGAGATTTCACAACAAGATTGTAGTGGGAAAAAGCACCAATCTGAGACAAGAAATCCTTTCAACATTTCACAATTCTGAGTTGGGGGCCACTCTGGAGAAAGAGCCACTTATCACAGAGTGAAGTTAGTATTCCATTGGCAGGGCATGAAACAAGATGTGATCACATTTGTGAAAAATTGTCCAGTATGCCAACTGAACAAAGCTGAACATACACCTTACCCTGGTCTGTTAGAGCCACTTCATGTGCCAGATTTTGCATGGGCTCATATCAGCATGGATTTTGTGGAAGGATTGCCTACATCAGAAAACAAGAACCTGATTTTGGTGGTAGTTGACAGATTCACTATATATGCTCATTTCATTGCCATGAAACACCCCATAACAGTGCAGTCTATAGCAAGAGCCTTCTCTGACAATGTGTTCAGATTGAATGGAATGCCACTAGTAATTGTAACTGTCAGAGATAGAATTTTCACCAACAATCTCTGGCAAAAGTTGTTCAAAACACTGAAAATCAAATTGCACATGAGCACTAGTTACCACACACAGTCAGATGGCCAAACTGAAAGTGTAAATCAGTGCTTGGAAAATTATTTGAGATGCATGTGCTTTAAACAACCAAGAAAATGGCATGGATGGCTAGCTCTAGCTGAGTGGTGGTATAACACTTCATTCCATACATCACCGGAAATGACTCCTTTCCAAGATCTTTATGGATTTCCTCCTCCTATGATAGCTGAATCAGCTCTGCCAGATACTATTTGTGATGATAATGAAGATTTGTTGCAAAACATGGAATTAGCAGTGGAAGTGATAAAGCAAAACCTCTTAAAAGCACAAGCTAGAATGAAATTCTTTGCTGACAGAAAAAGGAAGGAAAGAGAATTTGTGATTGGCGACATGGTTTATCTGAAAATACAACCTCATAGACATACATCTCTCAGCTTACACAGGCACATCAAACTCCACTCCAAGTTTTATGGACCATTCAGAATTATGGATAAAATTGGGAATCATGCCTACAAATTGCTTCTGCCTGAGGACTGCCAGTTGCATGACACCTTTCATGTCAGCCAGCTTAAGAAGCATATTGGCCCAAAGGTGGTGCCCTCCTCAACACTTCCTTTGGTAGGAAATGATGGCATGATCAGGATGGAGCCTGAAGCAATTCTGGAAAGAAAGCTCATCCCTAGGAAGCAAGGTAATATCAGTATTCCTGTTGTCAGATGGTTGGTGAAATGGGTAAATCTGCCTCAAGAAGAAGCAACATGGGAAGATTCAGCTTTCATTCAGAAAGTTTTTCCTGCATTTAGAGCTTGAGGACAAGCTCCAGCTCAATTGGGGGGCATTGTCAAGCCCAAGTCTGAACATCCCCTGCTCGTGCGTGCCATATGATTCTACAACCATCCATCTCGCATCATGTGGTCATTAGTAGAATATAACGGTTCAGTGAAGATTCGCTGCTATCCTCCCTTGATTGATCATCCAACGGCTTAGGTGGCGCCAGAAGGGCTATTCATCGTCCGACAAGACCATGTGCTCTGCTTTTGCTTCCTTTTCACTTTCCAACAACTGTAATGGCTATATAAGCCATCTCTCTCTCTCTCTCATTTGGGGCATGTAAAAAATTATTAGGTGTAAACCCTAGCCGTCGGTGGCGTGCTAAACTACCTTTCCCTTCATGCAAGAGAAACCCTAGCTCGATTCTCTCAATTTTCGTCTGAATTCAGCCTAGTTCTTGCTCAAAACCTCTTGATTGGGATTCTGGTCCTGACAGGAGTTGAGGTGGAGGGCGGTGCAGAGGGGACGACAAAGTCGCTGGTGAGTGCAACACCAACTGAGTAGTGGTGGCTCTGGTCTAGTGGTGAGTGCAAGCCCTCCCAGGCGATGCACCGCGAGGAGCTCGGGCGCGCGGAGGAGAGGAGGAGTTGAGGCGGAACGACGACGTAGGGTGCTGCAATAGACGACGCCGGTTGGAGGCCAGCGCGACACTGGATCGAGCGCCGCACGGGGTCGGGCGCCTCCTGGCGGGGATCAGGAGGCGAGGGAGGGCACGCATTGAAGGAAGGGCTAGATTTTTTTCTCTCTTTAAAAAGGACCACGGGTTGAATACCCGAAACTACAGGGTTTCTCTCACAAAATTCGAAAACGAAATGTTTTCTCACTTGAAAAGGGACTGCTGATCTATGTCGAAGCGGACTGTCTGGAGGTAATCGAGATCATGCTGAGTGGCGGGAATTCATTAGGACCAGCAGCGGCAATATATGAAGAATGCACTTTCTTATCTAGTAATTTTATCTCTATAGTTTTTAGCCATTGCCCTCGGGAAGCCAATATGGCGGCGGATCTGCTAACTAAGAACTCGGAGGTGTCTCGAACAACTGTTTGGAAATCGGAGCCCCTGGGTTTCTTAGTGGATGTTTTAACAAACGATGTATCTTTATTCTCACATGAAATATAAACCGCCATGATGGCATTTCCCTCAAAAAAAGGGACTGCTGGTTCAATTATCAAAAAGTACAAGAACTTTTTTGTAAAAATGTTGCGACGATGAGCAGACAGAAGCAATCAGTGCTTTATTATTAGGTAAAGATATAACTTACTTAACTTCCTACCCATAGTTGGAATTTGCGTCAATGGCATAATGGGTCATCTAGTGGTCCTACTACCTTCATCCTGGTTTATTAATCCTATTTTGTGCCAAATTTTAACCGTAGATCTAACAAAGAAAATAATAATGTATGTCATCAAAAATTATATTCTTGGATTCATATTTGAACATAGTTTCACTTTTCAGTGGTATTATTTTTGTTACATGTATTAACATTTTTTTAGTTAAATCTAAGATCAAAATTTAGCACAAAATAAGAAAAAGACCAATAAACTAGGACGGAGTTAGTAACTAGTAAGACTCGAGGCCTTTCTCTCAATCGAGAACTCATTCTAAATTGACCTTCAAAGCTATAAGGTACTAGTAAACAGTCATTTCTTAAATATTTCTCTCAAAGAACTATCATGTCTTCCCCGCAAAAAGAAAAACTATTATGTCTTGTTAAAAAACTATGTCCATAGTAAAGAGCTTTTTTTGAACATCAGTACAGACGTAAGCGCTCATACATACGCGCATACACTCACCTCTATGAACGTATATACGCACACCCTACCCCTATGAGCACCTCCGAGAAACTGAGCCGGCATGTCATCTTGAAATTTACGAACTCTGGAGATACCATAGTCCCTCTAACCATCCAACCATAGATTGATTCGCCAGTAAAGAGCTTTTTGGTTAGGGGAGATAGAGTCATGCGAAGGAGGAAACACGACAACCTGTGCTTCCCGTTATCCAAAACCAACCCCGCTATTCCTTGTAGCCAGCTCCGCCTCTGTTCTTGGCCGCCACCTCTCGCCATCTTCACGGGTCAAATGCATGCCCATCTCGACGCACGCCACCGCCACTCAGAGACCCAACAGAGAGGAGACGTGCACGAGGGGAAGGGATGTTCTTTTTTTTTATGGAATGGGAGGGGTGAGATTTTTTTATGGAATGGGAGGGGCGCAAGAAAAGGTTTGCATCAGACGGGCCAGCTAGCTAGTTGGGCTTCAGTTTCATTGGCCCATTCGTGCGCTCTTGTCCCGCCGCCTCCCGTCGCCGTCTCGTCCCGCTTCCCCTCGCGCCGCCGCAAGCCATCTCCGTCCCCTCACCCCGCCGCCTGCCTTCTCTGCCCGCTCGACCGGCGGTTCCTTCTCG